TTTTCATTTTTCTTCGGTTAGTGCCAGGATAGCAAAGCTCGACTAGTTACGTCGATGTCATTATTGCAGTCGAGAAAAACCTCCACAGCAGTTCGAATATCTAAAAGAGATAGTTTTCTCCATGGATGGTTGTTAGCAACTGTGGAGGATTTCTAGAAGAAAATGTCTCGAAGAACAAGTGTACGATTTTTGACAAGACTTTATTGATAGTTGTATAGGATATCGAACTCTCTTCTCAATATGAATTAAATATATATAATATTTCGTTAATTTGGCTTTACATATAAAAATAAGTCTATCCATAGATACAGATTTCCAAGACTTTAGTGATCCCGAACTCCCAGTAATCCGGAAATAACCAGCCACTCAATTATCACAAGATAGCATTTCCTAGCTACCAGATTTTTGATACCACTGAACTTAATGCCACCCAGCTAAGCTTGATCATGGGTGTTGTTTGTCATTACACAGGTTACTTTTTGACGACTTAGTAGTTTTAGAATTTCGTGTGGAAGTAACATTGTGATGAGGTCTTCGCTCAATTTAAGGGTAGAAGGCTGAATAGTCAGCCTCGTGTAATTATATCATGTATCACTATTATAGTTTAAACAAGAACATCTTTATCCCAACGTACATTGTTATCTGATCAGATACCGAGGCACAGCCTATCCAACAATAGGCAATCAAATCAATCTCGTTGACCTTGATGATCATACCTAGAAGTCTAAACCGTCATATATACTAAATCTCTTTTTTCAGCACTAATTATTTTCAAGGCGAAGGATATGTCGTTTGTTGACTTTTGCCTTGGAACCTTGTATTTTAGGCTATGACTGCAGGCTGTGGCACAGCTTTCACAACTGGGACCAGTTTATATCGTAGTCAGTTTCGTGCCAAAGTGGCCCAGGTGCTTTTTGAAAGCTGGACTGGTACGGCGGATATATTTGTGCTCCTGGCCTCGGGAGCTCTTAGGAGAGGCTTCGCCTGGCGAGGATGAAGGAAAGTTGCTTCGACACCAGAGATAGCCGCGGAGCAATACTGGGCGTGTCCCTCACTGTCCATAAGAGCACAGCATGAAGTTAATAAATAGGAACTTACAACATGTAGCTAGTATCTTATTTGTAGATTCTAGGAGTCCTCAATAGTCATTGACTCAGTTAGGACTATAATACAAATCTAATCTAATCTAATCTAGCCGCGGAGCAGAGTGTCAGACTTGCCCCTATTTCGGCGGCAAGTCGTTGTTCAGCTTCGAAGGTTAGTCAAAGTTCTGGAGGGCAGTCTGCTTTGTTTGCAGCTTTAGGCACCCATTCTTTATTTGAAGCTGGTTTCGGTACAGTTTCCCCTAACAGTTCTGATGCGGTTGGGGGAGATTTGGACGATTCTACATTTCCGTGGGGAATGGATGCAGGTTGAGGAATTTCCTCAACAGTGTGAACTGACCTAATCATATCAGTGTCGGGCTCGTTGACTATATGTCTATAGAAGTATCTTATTTGGGCGTTATTATTTGTTCTATGTACTCACGGTGTTCGGGATGTTGTTAGGACTCTAAAAGGGATCTGAATTAGCTCACTAGTGAGGCGCTTAGAGTAGAAGACGAGAGGGAGTGGATAGAGACAACGATATATGTATTTCGAGATACCAGTTAATTTACTTTATTCACCAACTCCGTGACGTCACCCAATTTATATTATTTCTTGTTTTACCAACACTGTAGGAAGGGCATTTTCCTTCCCATGAATCAAGGCCTTGCTCATCTCCGCGTATTTTGGAGACTGGGCAAGGTCAGGTGATTGTGCGAGAGCGCTCGGGTGGACTCTGGTGTTGTCCAACAAGACGTTTTAGCGCTTTTTGCGAACAGGATTCATGGTGAATATGCCTGTAGCACGATCACAATTCAAAGATCAATGCGATGAGTTCGAGAGAAGTGGAAAAAGGTAATTTTCGAATTGTGAGGTTGGTTGTTTGTTCATAAACGTCCTAGGCACATGACACCTTTCCATTCTCTAATTTTTGCTTTCCTCAGGGTCCTTGTCATAACTCGTCCTAGAATTTCCTCATCTCATTCAGGGGTCGTTTTATTAATTGGATGCTTCATCTAGTCGCCCACCTAGACCTCCTCAGTTTCCCCTCACTTTTTATTCCTCTATAGTAGCTTTCCTTCATATTTCAGTCAATATTATAATCTCAGAAAGTCTATTGACTTTGCACCCCTTTTTCCTTGCCCCTTAGCTGCTGTACCAATAAATATAGAGGTCGTATAGACTCCAAAGAGTTCAAGATCGAGGTACCAATCCTCCGGCTGTACCCTCCCAGTGCACAAAAATTGCTGTGGGATAAATTACCACATGAACCTTGGATGGCGAATATGGCTTTTGGATTTTAGAGAGCTCCAGTAGTTGTTGAGATGATTTTGCAGAGGGTCACGAGATGAGTTTAGAAGGAAAAGATCTTTTTGGGAAAATTTGAGAAAGTAAAGATTATAAGTTGTTTTGACACGAAAATTAGACAGGTTTTATCCTGTATGCAGTTCATATCTGCGGTGTAAATGATTGAGCTCATTAGCTTGTGCAGTCGTGAAATATCTGCAGGTTGGGTTTTTGACCAGAAAGCTCGCCAACACTACTCCTCTTGGTCGCCATCTCGAGAAAAACTCTCGACCGCACCCTTTTTCGTGACCGAATCTCGGCTCTGGGAGAATATATCACTCACAGGTTCGTGAATGACACCACTGATAGGTGTTCAGCAATCATCATTGGTATGGCCTGTCTTATTTATGGTTCTTCAAAGTTAAAACCTTTTATAACGCTAAACGAGGATAAATCTATTAATAATTTTACTAAAATTGTGTCTTTTTTTTATTATCATTCTATTTCCTGATTTAGCGCCATGTAGACCCATGTAGGCTATTAGGCAAATAAATAATGGAAATTAGGAGTTAATTGGTCATATAAAGTTAGAATAATAAAGAGAAAGTACTCGGAGTGTTAGAAAATCTATTCTTTCGCTATGCAGTGTTTGTAGTTCATCTCGCCGTTGGCGAGTGATTCTCCTGATAGCCCTTTCTCTAAACCACATAGTGCTTCTGTTAGAAATTTAGAATAGAGAGTGAGTTGCTTGTTAACTGATGGTAGTTATTGATGAAGGATTTGCATGTAGAGTTTTCTATTGTTTCTGCGTTGAAATCACTATGTCGATCCTATTAGGCTTGATAATGAGTAGTCTTGAGCCCCCGAGCACAGGCCGAACTTAATATGGAAAGCTGCAAACTTGTAGAAAATTATGAAAACTGATTGGCTTATAATAAACTATAAATAATCACCTTTCTAAATGCACCTAAACCTTAGCAGGGCCCAGAGCATGATTACCACACAACTAAGAAGCGAGCATACTGAGCTCAATGCCTATCTGCACAGAAGAAAAGTTACAGGAGTAGAAAAACCACAATACCAATATGCATATTCGTTCCAAAACGTAAAGAATATGATGGTGTCTTGTTCAAAAGTGGTAAAGGGAAAAGGTGCTTTGCTGCGAAAATCAGCGACCCGATCCTTCGAATCTATGATAGATATGACAAGGAATTTAAAATGGACTCAAAAAGAAGGGTAGCTAGGGCAGTTTCGGGTGACTGGAAAGATCAAGGCGCTAACCAGGCGAAGAGGAGAAAGTAAAAATATAGGACAGAGGAGAAGTCTACGCTTGCAATAATAGTGTGAGAGCACCTTCTGAAGGTAAGACTAGAATGGCGCAGGATCTAACGAGGCAGCTTAGGTTATTTTTACTTAAATGTTTCCTCATAATGTAAACGAGAGAGTTTGATAAACGCCTGCATGGGTCCATAAGTCGCCAAACTGGGCTAAATGAAATCAATTTTAAAAAGTTCGGAGTACTACCTAGCGACTGATTTTTGGCGAACAGAGATTGCGTTTACCCTACACTATTGTTATTAACTAATGTTATTAGGAGATTCCGCACGGGATATCTATTGGGATTAAAAGGAGGCCGGTACCATCATTTTGAAGATTAGTCGAATTCATATCCCCTTATCTTTCATGTTTGCATCAACTTTCTTCTTCCAACAATTTCTATGAGCTAAGTGATGGGTTTCATTTTAATAGCCTTTAGATTTTCTGATTTACAAAGATGTAGAATTCTGAAAAACGAAGTATTTCATCATCATATCTTGAGGCGACAATTTTGATCTAAAATGGATATCGATTCACGGCGCTGTTAATGATAACTTCTGATAAAGCGGAGTTATAATGATACGATAGTATCTATGCTTTTCCGGTCACTTTATACAAAATTTTTTTCATCGAGTAATCATCTCTTGCTACTCCAGAGAGTTAAGTCTTAGTTTATCAACTCTGGCCGCAGGAAACTTAAAGGTTTATTTAGTATCCATTTATCACTTCCCTAGAGGCATGAGAGCTTCGATATAAATATCGGTGGATAATTTGAATTGGCTGATGAAGAGACCCATATGTATTTTAAACTTGAAAAAGTGTTTTAAAATTGACCAGTAAGTTTCTTAATGATCTTTGATTTCTAAAAGCAGCCAGTCAGTTGGAATTCACTTGTGAAGGTCTTCTTAGATCTTATTTTGCTTTTAAATTGAGGGTTAAAACCATATTGGCATCTACGATTAAAAATTAATAGAAATAAATGACCATCAGTAATTTAGCTAGTAGGGGAGAGTGTAGATGAAGGTTAGCACAAGTTTTATTCTGGGACTTGAGTAGCCGTTGTTTGTATACTATTGGATAGTGAAATTTCTAGGGTTCTACCAAATTAGTTTCGGCAGTAGATATGAGTTCAAATCCTCCACGAGGTTTAGTGTAAGACTCGGCTGTTTGCAGTAAAATGATGCTAAACATCTTGATATAGAATTCTGCATTTCCAAAGATTCAAAAAATTATTCTGGATTCATTGATTTTAGGCAGAATGAATCCGTCTATTTTGGATTCATAAGACAGTTAATTACCATATGAATACTCTTAGGGTATCAGAATCTTAATCACAGATGTCTCCAGAGTTTCGGTATCAACTAGGACTATCTCACCGGTTTCTGAGAATTTAGGAACAGCGATCAATCGTACGGATTGGCCTTCCGGGCCTTCGATCAAGGTTGTTTCAAACTTAGGTTGTGAACCTACTATGAATACATGAGGACATGATTCGAGCACAAAAGGATCGTCATCTTGAAATGGGTAACTTGCTATCGACAGAATTAGCTATGGGGTCATTTATTTCATTTCTTCGTATTAATTTCTATTTCAAAGCTTGAGCAAATTCATATAATATTTGCTCTAATTTTACATTTCCGAAAAAATAGGCTTCGGAATGCAGAAATAGCAGAAATTTCATTTGCAATATCATAAGTTTTGAGAGCCTCGGGATTTAGAACTTACATAAAGTATCTGGAGCTGTCGGAGCACAGCACCGCCATCGGCACAATGCTTCTAAGATTTCCAAACGGTCCCCAATCACTAGATACTTGAATATATCATCCACATTCTGACCGCCAGTGACAAAAAAATTCCAGCCTTCAATCTCCCCGTTCCATGGGTTTGTCACCGAGTCGAGCCATCCGGGTTCGGCTGTAGTTTGAAAATTCTGTGCTGATGGTCCATAACATTTAGAATGGGGAAATAGGGCAGGGTGTAAAGGTTGCTGGGGAAGAGATACATTGGCTGGGTCGGTAGCACCCGGAATGAGGGTGACGGGTATGCTGGGCAGTAAACACGAGAGAAAATTGTCAAGGTGTGAAGTTGGGGTTGGGTTATAGGCGCTACTATCATAGCCATATTTTTTATGTGCCTTTCGATTATTGCCAATGGTATCATGACAAAAGACTTCATCATCTCTTGCGATTGAGTTTCCAGCAATAATCAACCTGCTTATTTGAGCCACACTTTCTTGTGCAGCTGAACTAAGGGCTTCTCCGAGGAGGTATTCGACGAGAAGTTGCGTCTCCAAATAGTGATCCGCATTAGAGCCGGAAAATTCGAGGCCTGATACAATTGCAATTTTATTACCCGAAGTTATAGGCTTATCCATATCTTCATCATCATCCCCTTGTAGTAATTGAGCTGCATTGCGTGACTGCTCTAAATTTGCTATGGTCTGCCATCGCTTAGCTTGAGGTGGTAGATCTGGCACCTTAATGTCTACGACTTCAAAATCTCCGTTCGCATTTTCGGTCCCCATAACCGCCACAATACATCCTGTCACTAGGATCTCGTTGATTAATCGAGCTCCAATTAATCTTAGCCTCCCTGACTCGTCCTCAAGCATGGTAAGGTTTTCACCCTCCGACGAGAGATACTTTGGTCTCGGTGGCGGTGCAGCTTGCCAGTGATCTTTTGCAATCTCATCAAGTATGTTTGGCTTAAGGGGCATATCCATGTATATTGTGCCAGTTATCCAGCATAGGTCTCCTTGTCTAACATCCAGCACTCTTTCCACCTTCTTGACTGTCTCCCCAGCAATCGTTTCTTCATCCCATGCGTTGGAAGCAATCCGCTCTACTGCTGGCTTCAATTTAGCTAGCCGTAAAAAGTACATATCCCCATACTGCTGCTGGTATTGCTTTTTTTCCTTGTCAAGAAGATAAGTGTAAAGCGGCTTGTATGAAGACGGTTGACGCTCTATTATCGGAAAATCAACATTACTATGCTTCGTCGGTAAATATTTTACACTCTAGGATTTGACTTACGATGGTGCCCGCAGCAACGTATCTCCTTCTAATTCTTTCATTCTGCGGTTGTAGAAAGAGGAGCTTATCTAGTTTCCCTACTCGGAATACGATCAATGAAAACTCCTAATGTATAAATTTCACGTATTATAAGACTGGTAATATACGCCTCTGTGACTTATGCATGAAGCACTAGCACTTGATCATTGTAGTCTGAGATTGGGTTATGCCTTCATAGACGCGTAGTTACGATATCCGAGGCCTCGATTTTTCTATTTGGCAACAGAGGCGCCTTAGGCTACATGATCAGTCACCTCCGATTTCCTACACCCAGCTGGGCATTCATGTCGTTAAAGGTCATGGTTCACACCAGGAAGAATTTCTACAATACAAACCAAACCACAATTAACGCTTTGTCGGACGATGTACACTCATAATCATGCCTTTTTTTCCATAGTAATTCATGAAATCTTGACTATGATTGGTAATTCACCTAATGATATATAGTAGACAAGTCATGCCACGTGATCTTCTAGGCAAAAGATAGATTTCATCCGGTGCAGTAGGGATCTGTATTCTAATGCCAACGTATCTTGGGCTCTTGCTTTAGCGGGGGGAGATAATGCATTCAATGGCTGGTTGCATGCCACAATTCTCTTCGAAATGACACCACGACAAGTCTGATTCGAACGGAATCATGAACTAATGTAAACAATTTCTTAATTTCATTTTTGTTGTAAAAAAAAGGGTTTTCTTCATCTAGTGCTATCTGCATATTATGAGATACGTTGGACGGACGACATCAATGTTTACAATAATCTTCGAGCGCAGGGTGATATGGTGCTGCCTTTCACTTGCTTTGTTAGGTCAATTTTTTTTGAATCAGATTTCAATTACGTATACAACTATCTAGCTATCTACTCCACTTGGGAAGGAGACACCTCAGATCACATATCGCGCGGAGAAAAGTTGAAAGATGATGGAGGCCTGTCTGGATAACTCAGGGTTTTTGAGACGTTCCCCTGGGTGGGTATTCACGGATGAGGGTTGACTTGGAGTGAAGAAAAAGCCACCATAACTTCGCAGTGGTACTTGCAAATGAAATCTGAGGCATGAGTGCTCTTCCTTTACGTTGAATCATCCATTCTGTACTTTTCTTTGATATTGTGTCATAGCTAGATAGCTGCATACGCAATTAAAATCTGATGCAAAAAAAAAAAAACTATCTAGCTATGACACAATCTCAAATAAAAGTACATGGTAGATATTTCAATTACAACTAGAGCACTCAGTCCTCGGATTTCATTTAAAAGTACCACTGCGAAGTCATGGTGGCTTTTTCTTCACCCCAAGTCAACCCTCATCCGTGAATACCCACCCAGGGAAAGTCTTAAAAACCCTGAGTTATCCAGACATGCCTCCGTCATCCATCAACTTTTCTACCTGCGAAATGTGATCTGAGTTGTCTTCTTCCCAAACTGTTGTGGAAAGAGAACGATTAGAAGACGCCAAACTTTGGTTAAAAAATTTGTATCTTCTATGATGAAATTAAAGCCTGCGAGTGTAGATGTGAGAGGTGCTGGGCCGTAGAGGCTTTGGAAGTAGTTGAAATAAAGGACTCAAGATTACGAAATTATCACCTAGAAAGTTGGTAGTCAGTCAACTCTTCGAACCTCTTGTAACTTTCAGAAGTGCTGAGCAGTTTGTTTTGTTTTTATTATTATTTAATTTTCAGTGGGACGCCAAGCTCAGACTTGGGCCCCTGCTGCCTACTTTTTTTTTAATTCAGCGCTCCCTACTTAGTACTAGGCATAGACGCCAATGTTCACTGCCCTAGAAGCCTTGCTCTTGCTATTCAGTGACAAGAGATGCCGAGCCCTTAATCTACACAAACGGGGTGCTAAGAAATGGCTGGGCCTCACGTTATATTTGCTGGACTCTTGTGGGGCACTGGAATGTTGTTACCGTTTCGCATTTTACCGGACTTTGGGACCTGGAAACGATCGAGTTTCCACTAACCACCAATTTTGATACACGTCTGGGATAGTTGTCATGAGAGCTAGCTTCGGGAAACACAGGTCTCAGAAGGGTTTATGGCCAAGGTTTACCCCAATATTAGACTTCTCGGGCTATCATCAACGATTATAGAACGTGTGACAGGCTAGATAATATTGGCCCTCGGGATAAGCTAGTAGTAATGGGGTTCATGCAGACATCAACTTCCATGGACATAGAGCAGATAAAGTCATATCATCTCAATTAACTCATGCTGTTTCTAATTATTCACTTGACGTAATACACGTGGGTTAGTCTTTGTAGACTGAGTTAACCTGCACTTGGCCCTACAGTCTAATGTTGTGCGCTGGCAAAACTTTAATGATCAAAACAAAGTAGGGCTTTCTAGTCAATATTTACGATAGAATATCATGTCCCATGTAAATTTCTCACGAAACCTTTGGTCGCTATGTTAGAGCTGGTAATAGCTATAAATGGTTATATTCGACTGCTCGGGAAAAGGATGTCGGCACGTCACCTTGAGTGAATTGTTTGGCAAAATATAAACCCCGGTATATGTTAGCTAGAAATATACGTGCTCTATCAACTTTACTTCTGAATGAAAACGTGAATCGTCTATTACTCAACGGGCTAGGAGTCACATCGTACATAATCATTATTGCCTTGCCAACGCAGCATCTTAATTCGGGTCGTGAATATCTTATCCCACAGGCTTGGTCTAAGGATAGGTTCCCAAAACTGTCAACTTTGAAAAATATATCACTCTACAAAGAGTTTATTTCGTAGTGACTGAAACAAAGTAAAAGACGCGTCGCTATGCCGTTTAAAAACGCTGTGCACCTAAAGCTATAAGCCTATTCTAGAGCCTTTGTACATGCTGTATATTCATACATTATTACAAAAATTAGTTTTCGGTAAAGGCAGACTTGTGTTAGCCCAACTGCTGATTGTGAGGACTGTTGTGTATATCATCACAATCCCGCCAAATATGCATAAGAGGATATCACCCAATATACTAACATTATTTTTTGCTGCACCTCTTATATGAAGCATTGGCTATGTTAAATTAGCAATAGAACACGGGAGCTATAATTGGGTTCTTACAGGATAAATGTATACCAGTGGGATGCATGCAAAACTACCCACTAGTGAAACGAATTTATCCAAATCATCGGCACCAACCCAAGCAACTGCGGCACAGAGCATTACCACAAAAAAACGTAAGCTGTTCTTTTTCCACTTGATATAAGGATTATACTTCCCACTCCGTGTGAATATCTCATTCTCAGTTATGCGAATAGCTGGAAAGATTTGGAGAGGGGTTGAAAGAAGTATGGCAATTGAATAGAGGAACTGAACCCCATTAACAAGTTTACTGTCCTGCGGAAGATTTAAGATAATAACGGTTTCAGTTTTGGAGCCGTATGCAGCGTATGAAATCGCTCCCATGGATAGAAAAATTAGGATAATAATTATCATTACTCCTCCGAGAACAGCAGGAAATTTTTTTGGACTTTTCATGGATTCTTGAATGGGAATAATCAGACCAATTCCCTCAAAGGTAAATATGGCGGTTCCAATGAATAAAGACCAACTTTGCGAATTAAAGTTAACGATATCAGAAATCCCACCTTGATGTATGATAGTATCAATATCATAGTGATATAGGACCAATAGACCGAACAAGATGAACGCATCTGCGATAAGGGCGGTAAATCCTAGCTTACTAATGTCCCGAAGCAGCGAGAATGGTAAAAATACTGCTACTTGCATTAAGATGAGCCATGGTATGCTGATATAAGTCTGGCAGTGAGAAACTGCGAGAATAAAAGCTTGCAGGTTCTCCGAAGTAAATATAATATAGGCTGCGACGAACCCAATTTGACTGAACACGATAGAGATTAGAATCATATTCCGGAACCAGTTTCCATAGAGAATTCCGCCCATATCACCAAATGATCCTTCAACTTTTAATCGTGTTTCAATAAGTAGTACAAAGCAATAATAACTTAGTATTGCGACCAACAGTAGAATAATGTTACTGAAAACCATGCCTCCATTTAGGTAAGCTTTAGGTAAAAATAGCACACCGGTACCGACGAACGATTTGAGGAGAAGCAGCACGGCTCCTGAAATACCATTAGTGCCTGGAGGTTTGCGGTCCTTGCGCTTTTTTCGACCTGATGATAATAGTCCTGTGTTTTCTGTAGACTCTCTACCATTGTTAGGGCCTTCGTTGTAATATGCTCCTGATACGACTGAATCGTTTGAGCCAAGAGCCTCATCATCTTCTTCCAGCGTTTCTCCAGCAAAATGACCGTATATGGTGAGAAATTCGATAAAACTATTGGTAAAGAGCTGAGCTTGCTTGGTACCTCGCTCAGGCTCATTAATACAAGATGGATTCATTGCAATACGTCGGAGAAAATTACGACGAAAACCACCAGGTACTTTTATCGAACCAATGTCGAGAATTTCATTTTCAGGCTGCGGTCGGGACAGATGAAAGCTTCTACTACGACCTTGTCGTCCAAGGCCATGAGCCCGCGCCTCAGCCTCTTCTGTCCATTTGTATATCGGTCGCGTTATGTCGCCACCTTGGAGACGTAGGCTAGAAAATTCATCAAGTAAAGGAGCTGATGCAGCATCATTATGTTGTTTGGATATTCCTACTGAGGAATCACCACTTGCAACTGTGGATTCAGTAATTATTTCAGCTTGAGATGTCTCGGTAGGTTGAACTAAATGCCTTTTTACAATCTCAGGATCCTCGTATGTGGCCGGGCCATTCCATCCGGGAGCGCCCTGGATTGACCGTATCCTATCAAATGATCCATAATTACTTTGTACGGCTGAACTTTGCAAATGGTTTTCTGACTGAAAAGGGGAGCTTGGACGAAGTGGTGGAGTTCCATGTTGCGATGGTTGTCTTTCATAGGTATTGTTCAAGGCAGCAGCAAGGGCTGAAACACCTGGGCCAGGTAGTGAAGGATAATACATCTGACTTGATAGATGAAGGTCATCTTGAGAGTCAATTCTGGGTGTATGTTGGGTTAATTGTCGTAACTGAGTTGTTCCAGCTCCAGGAATTGGCGATGCCAGCCGGGCAGTGGAGGTTTGCCTCGGGAGAGAACTGTCAGGTTGGATACGGTCTCGAGCGGAGCTAGGAGAGGAGGAGATCGGAACAAAGTGTGAAGTCGAAGATTCACCGTCTGCAGAGACTACCATGGCTATCTTGATGGTGAGTTAAATGTGTAAGATACTGAATTAAGGATATACGGTGAAAGCTGTAATTCCTAATCTTGCTCCAATCACTTGTCGAAGGTTGTATTACTTTTCTATATCAGCTTCGATGATTTAGAATTGACTCGAACATGATACAAATAGAGATGATATGAATAGGGATGGATACTCACCGCCAAAGCTCTGACGAATCAAGGATACCCAGCAAGAACGGACGGTGTGATTACCGTATGCAAGTCGCGCTAGTACTAGTTAAGAAAAAATAGTGAAAATTTACCTTTGTGTTAAATATTCCTCAGTGTCTTTGAACAAAGCTGAGCAAAGAGCAATAATTCTTTTTTTAACCTCCATTCCCTGGGTTGCCATACCTTGAGTAGAATTATGCATCCCTCACATAGCCTTTTACCTAGTTCAACGGCCCATCTCCTCAGGACAAACCACTAATCAAAGCTGCGTATGATATTTTGAAGAGCATTTTGCAGGAAAGTAATGATATGTTGAAGGGGTACCACCATCTTGGGACCCTCCGTCCAAGAGCAGTAATCTCAGAGATTTACTGATCACGTTGAACATAGTGCACAAGCAGTAATCTTTGTGTGTGTGCGCCCGTGCAGGAAATAGACGTAAAAGGCGATCATCTCGGCGCGGGAATGCAAAGCGAAGTTTTACCCCCCTCTCGCGACGCATAAGGTGTTCGCTTATCAAAAATAGTGATGAATTCCCAGGTCTTCCAGATTTAAATCCACATAGGTGATTTTATGTCTCATTTTTAGAACGTCAAAGGAAATGACACTATCAAGAAGTATGCTATTACTACAATATATTGCCCTAGTTGTGGCTACACAACATAATTCCATTCATTCTCTCATCACCACTAGGATAAGACATTGATGTGGATAACTATCATCAAAATGCCATACCAATTTACAAAAACTTCCCAAAACTCTGCGGTATGGCTATGGATAGGAGCTTAAGAATATTTCATTTTTATCCTGACGACCAATGATTAGATTTTGATCAAGTTTCCCCAGAGCTCAAGATAGTATATGGCATTTCGGAAAATTCTGCCTATAGTTTAAGATGCCTTTGCCTTCTTTTCCGCTCCAATCGACTAGCAACGTGCCCCATAATCAGTGATAAGAATATGAGCATTGAGAAGGCGTTGACAGTTTTAACAATCAGTTCAATTTGCTTTAAGAGCAGCGTTCTAACGGTGGTTATTTCTCTGTGAATTTCTGGCGTGAGGCGTAGCAGATAGCGTTAGCCGGCAAAGACGAATTCTTAACCTTCCAGTGATGCCGGTGTAGTCTCTCAGTATACTCAGCATATCTGGGATAGCCTAGAAAATTCACGTCCGAATCGAAGTCGAAAGAAACATCAAGCATATCTGAAGTTGACGACTTATCGTCAATGTCGTTCTTACCATTCTCAAATGGGTTTTCCACCTCCATCATACCACACACCACCTCGTCTCAGCGATTGATCAAGTTTACTCTAATTGCATATAGGTATTTGCTTCACTACTTACCAGCCATCTCCCACTAAGAATTTACAACGATATTCGTACCCGTGGAGAGGAAGTATGCAGTGATTTTCAAATCTCGGAGGTTCGCTTATAGGTGACTGTTACTCGATTAGGAGTATAAAACTTGAGAGAGGACAAGCGGCTGTGATAGAATGAGAGAGGGAAGAGGTCTCATGAGTGTGCTGGAACTGGAATTTCCGAGGTTTTTCGGCTGTAGTATTCGGACACAAGGTCAACGGTCTCGTATAAGTAGCCAGGAAGGAAGGTATAAAGGCAGAGGGTGAATTTTCTGAGGTATACACAAGTCTGCAGCGCCCAGCTGGCCGGCTTCTTTGACCGCTTCAGAAGAGTCACTGATTATTCGGATATGGTCATAATTTTGTTACTAGGAGAGTCCCACACTCAGTAGATTTTGCGATTTTTTCTGGCTACCATACTCCAGCGTATGACAATACATTTTTTGGCTAGGGAGAATATATCTTGGAGGGAAAAGGGTTCCTCTAAGTTCATGATTAAGTGAGAACTTAGGAGTGGTGTTGCAATTAAATGATAGTTATGTTTGAAGGATGAGAGGGGTTATACTGCTTGCACAATTATCCTTGGCCTGTAGGAAGAAAGGACCTGCACGTCCTACGTACTTATAGACTCTAAAAGGATAATAAAATGAGAAAGTAACAACAGATAGCGTTAAAATGCGTCCATCAATTATTGGGATTGGCTACTCATAGGACGTCCAGATGGGGACCGCACTCCCAATAAGGGCTATATCCCGGTTCAAGGTTTGATGGTAGAGTTCTTCATTTCCGGCCGGCCGGCCAATTATCTCCCTCCATAACGACGAAGCGCGCCCTCAATTAAGGAGATTGCCATGTCAGGGTACAGTGAGTACGCAGCTAGCATATTATTAAGGCGATGCCGAAAATGTTACGACGCCGATCCCGTTCTAGCAAATTAATGACAGCTGCCTGTCGTGCCGATCGTACATTAGCGAAGCGGGACAAAGAACAAATACCAATCAGAGACGCCCCCTGCTACCTACTGATGTTTGGAGGGTGAAGGCTTAACACCTATCAGCGGTACTCCTTGTGGACCTAGGTGGAAATATTTCCTCTGATCCGAGACCTAGCAAAGAACTGAGACATGCACAGTATGAAGATTCGCATAATATCCACTGCATCTACTTCAAACTTCCATGTAGAGTCTGTAGAGCCGAGACTGAATAACAAAGTCTTCACTTCGGTGAAGATTCTCATGTTACAAAGGAGGGTGATATAAATGGAAATGAACATCTCATGTAGTCCTGGTGCCTAGGCCTCGCCTGGCTGTCGCTACAGGGTTCTTTGAGACATTCCCGCACACGCCGATTCCATTGGTACCATATTTTTGGGTAGAAAGTTCCGTGGAAAAGCGGCTGAACTCTCCGGCCGACAACTACAGGTACCTGCGAGCTCACCTTGTACAATGCTCCTATCCTCTTTTGTTACTTGAAAGATCATGTACATAATCCCCTTGATGAATAGCAATTCAGCTCAGTGTTTACCCGTGAAATTCGGCCGCCTTTTCCACGGAACCTCCCACACAAAAAAAATAAAAATGCTAGCAATGGAAACTGCGTGCGCGGGAAAAAGTCACAAAAAAACCTGCAGCCCCGGCCAGGCGAGGCCTAGACACCGGGACCACATGAAGTGCGCATATTCATCTATATCTCCCTTCTTTGTAACAGTCAAGGCCATCTTGATCCAATCCACCATCTCCGTATCGGTTGCTGGGTACGCTCCGGAATCTCATCGGATGGCTTTTCCTCCATGATCAAGGGTTGTTGATGAGTAGGGCTCCGACCCTACTATCTGATCTGATCGTGGTTAGCTTCATGATAATGGTGTTGGGGGAATGTGTTGAGAGATGAAGACAATACAGACCGCGGAAGCACTTGGGAATCCGCGTCGAAGTGAGGACTTTGTGACTCAATCTCGGCTCTGCAGACTCTACAGTGAGCGCTGGGGGTTCGTAGGGGGCACCGCTGACAGGTGTTTAGAATAGCCCCCCACGCATTTTGTAGTGTATGGCACGAAAAAGAGCCAGATTTCGAACGCAGGATGAGGACCATGTGGGAATTTCTTCCAAATCTGCTTGAAAATTTTGATGTCAGGTTTGATTTTATGTTTTGCTCCGAACTGCGTCTTTCTGTCGGGCTTCACGCGATGAGAATGAATCGGGCCTGTGTTTACTGATCCCTGTGAGTCCGGCCAGTCCTGTACCCAGAGCGGGACTGGAGTATTGGCTACGGACCTTGTAATATAAGCAAACAGACAAACGGCCGAGCTCTGGCTACCTCGGTAAAAATATCAAGCAATGATTTAACTACCAACATAGGAGACTCAATGAAGCTTCCTGCAATGGGACCAGGATTGATTGATTGATTTAAATTTAAGTCTCTACTGAATCCTAGACCATCAAAGACTTCTTAAAGATCTATCTAAATAGCTCCTTAATTTATAGGTTAATCTTTAGTTTGAATATTACAATTATATGCCAGTGGATCATGAGGGTCATGCCCCAATAATTAGGACCAGGAAATCAGCAGATTATTTTGACACCCATCAGATCAGAGGCCGCATCATTAGATTGGATAAGATTTTATTATAGTCCCATCTAAATCAATGAATATGGACCTCAAGAATCTATATGGAAGAAACCACGTATATTCAAGTTATTTAGCCATGATAACTTTTATTTTTTCCCTTAGACAGTGAGGAGATACTGCTCAGTGATATTGGTGTTTTGCTGCAACTAAGGCAAGCCCTACGAGTCGTGAGAGAAGGGGGCGTGTCATAACATCATATTATATAGGGCTAGTTTCCATAGGGTACGATATAGAATTATAGAACGGTAGATTTAAGTGTGGATGACATCTTTGTGGCAGCGAAGTTATTATCAAGGACACAATAAAAACAGATGACCACGGAACTACTATGGTTTCTGTTGAAAATAAACTAACAATATGCAGAACTCTTCGAGTGATCACGGAGAATTAATGAAGTATATACTTCAAAGGATATCCGTAGATATGAATTATGTTTATAGTAAAGGCTTGATCGAAACTCTTGATCTTTACTATAAGATATGAGACTGTTTATATACATTGATTTCTAGCAATGGCATGGGTTAGAGTGTAATGTCTCATTACGGGATACAAAAGACCACACTACAGATCTGATACCAGTTACGCTTATTCTTATCGCATTCTTGAATATCGGACGTGACAGAAGTGATTAGGTAACTAGTATCGAGTAGGCGACACTCGACAACCTTGATGGACACATACTTAAACCACAAGCATGAGGCGGGTCTAAATTTATTCTGCATCAGTTTCCAACCAGCGAGTTGAGGGAGATCAATGAATATCTGTCTATCCGCGATGTCCTGCAAGAACTTAGAAACAGAGTCTTCTCCCAGAGCC